CCTAGGAAATACACAGAAGATATCCCAAATACTTAGGAACCTGCCTCCCATGTAGGAGACCATGATGATTTTCCAGACTCCTGATTTTGTCCTGGCCTAGATCCAGATTTCGTGGCCATTTTGGGTATGAAGCATTAAATAGAATCTCCATCAATCTCTGCTTCCTTCACATCATCCTTTCCTTTCTCTATTTTCTAAATCCTTGTTTTATTTTAAAGAAAGAGGGAGAGAGAGTGTCTTCCATGCATTGGTCCACTCCCCAAATGGCCCCAAGGCCTGGGCTGGGCCAGGCCAAAGTCTGGAGACAGCAACTCCACGTAGTTTCCCACATATGTGCCAGGGGCCAAAGCACGTGGGGAATCCACTGTTGCTTTCCCAGGTACTCCAACAGAACTGGTTTGGAAGAAGAGTGGCCAGAACTCAAATTGGTGTTCATATGGAATGCCAGTATTATAGGAGGTGATTCATCCCATTGTGCCCCAACAGTCCTCTCTTCCATCTTCTGTGATGAGCTATTTCTAAAATGCTTTACTGTTTCAGAACTAGGGGTTGTGCTATAGGTACCTTTTGTGTTGCACTCTAAGAGTTCTTCATATATTCCAACTGTACCTCAAACATCTCTCTCAGTGCAGACAAAAGTTTCTATTTCATATTTTAAGTGCAGGAAGTGGAGAGAGCTGAAGTCCAGTGAGAACATGTCGATCTCAGTTCAACTAAGTTGTTTTCAGGGGAAAGAGGAAAAGGCAGGCAAGGGATAAGAGTCAAAACTTTGGCAAGGGTCGGTGGCTGTCCATGGCATGTGGTAGCTCTGGAGACTGTCATGATACTTTAAAATAAAGTGGCTTTTGTGGCTTTTTGTCTTTTTTGGTATTGTAAACATATGCTGTTTAATATTACCCAAATTTAAACTTTCTGCAAAAAAAATTTGAAGCAAATTTGAGACAGCATCCCTAAGGAAAAAGTCATTTGCTATAAAATTTTAAGGATACCCAAAGCAAGACCCCAGTTGAGATTCATCAGCATGAACTTGAGAGCTTTTGTCCACTGTTCCTCAGAATTGAACTGGGTTTTGATAGAATAGGAGCCACCACTGCCTCTTGTGTCTTCAGTCTTGCCTTTCTCCACATTCTTCCTGTATGGAAGACAAAAACATGTCTCGCCCTTTTCAACCTCTTCTTTAAACTCCTGCATGTGGTTCAGGAAAGCCACCACTGCATGGTTAAACTTTTTGTCACAGAAAAACTACAACCCCCCAGAACAGTATAATGGCAGCTCCTTAGATTTGTCTGTCAGAGAATCCAGATGTGAATAATTTCCATAGGGTACCAGTCAATACCTCTGAAATTTCAGACCCATCTTATTGTCCAGGGCATGAAGCAGCAATACCATCTGGCCCAAAGCATTTATTAATCTCATTCCATTCCACAGGAACACTGGACAGGCAGCACAGCTTGCAGTTATGGATTGTGCCAAAGAGTCCAGTGTGCCAGATATGGAAGGTCGTGTTGACATTGGTCTTCAGCTTGTCCAGCTGCATCTGGGCATAAGACATCTGGTTTTCTACACTTTTCAGCTCTTTATCCAGCTCCAGCTGCTGTCATTTTTTAAAATATTTATTTATTTGAAAGTCAGAGTTACATAGAAAGAGAAGGAGAGGGAGAGAGAGAGAGGGAGAGAGAGAGGGAGAGAGAGAGAGAGAGGTCTTCCATCCACTGGTTTACTCCGCAATTGGCTGCAACAGCCAGAGCTGAGCCAATCCAAAGCCAGGAGCCAGGAGCTTCTTCCAGGTCTCCCATGTGGGTGCAGGGGCCCAAGGACTTGGGCCATCTTCTACTGCCCTCCCAGGCCCTAGAAGAGAGCTAGATTAGAAGTGGAGCAGCCAGGTCTCAATCCAGTGCCCATATGGGATTCCTGTGCTTCAGACCAGAGCATTAACCTTCTGTGCCACAGCACTGCCCCCTGTTATCATTTACATTCATTGTATTTTGTCTTATACTCAACTTCCTCCTGATCCAGTCTCTCAGCCTCAGCCTAGACCTTCTCCAGATTTTCTGCCACTATTTTGTGGTTTGTTCCACATCTTCCAGTTCCTGGATTAGCCTTTCCTCTTCCAAGGCTAGCTCCCTTATCCCCTTCTGCAACTGTTCCCTGTCATCCTCATTCATCTGCTCTAAGATCTCCAAACAGCATTTGTAGTTCTGACACTCACTGTCAGTGACATGAAGCTGAGTGTCCAGCTGGTCTGAGAGAATCTGTGCATTCCACACAAAGTGAGTGATCCACACCTGTCTGGCCTGAAATGATGTCAAAAAGGTCCCCAGTGACCTCCAGTCTTGGGCTGAGGTTCTCCTTGGTGCCCCCATCGGTTGCCTCCCCATCAGAGTGAAGCTCTTGGCACTTTCTGTAGCCATCATAATGGCTGGGGGGATGAATCTGCTAGACACCATCCTGGTGAGTTTCAATAAATGCTTCCTCTCCTGAGTTAGCTTCTTCCTCCTGGGTATCTCCTGGTTTGACCTGGGCTGTGGCAAGTAATGGAGCTGTGAGTTCCTGGATGGCAACCTGGTCCAGGATCTTGAAGCTCGTGTCCAGCTTAAGGGGCTGGCTGCAGCGCTAGCACACGAAGCTCACCTGAATGGTGCTGGTGGGCATCTTGGACCCCATCCACATATTGGGGCCCTAGAGCCAGCCATTCAGATTCAGTCAATTGTGGGGAGGACCATAGCCTCCGGTCAGCCCAGAACAAGGCCTCCTGAATCGCCATTGCCCAAACTTTATCTCTGAAGAGAACATTTAAATATTGATTAATATAATTTATCCCTTTATTCAATTATACATTTTATTTTTTGACATATCTAGGAAATCTTTGCCTAATTTTATTTTATTTTTGGCAGAGAGAGTGGACAGTGAGAGAGACAGAGAGAAAGGTCTTCCTTTTGCCATTGGTTTACCCTCCAATGGCTGCTGCAGCTGGCGTGCTGTGGCCAGCGCATCACGCTGATCCGAAGCCAGGAGTCAGGTGCTTCTCCTGGTCTATCATGGGGTGCAAGGCCCAAGCACTTGGGTCATCCTCCACTGCACTCCTGGGCTACAGCAGAGAGCTGGCCTGGAAGAGGGGCAACCGGAACAGAATCTGGCACCCCAACCGGGACTAGAACCCGGTGTGCCGGCGCTGCAAGGCAGAAGATTAGCCTATTGAGCCGCGGCACCGGCCAAGCCTAATTTAAAGTCACAAAAGTCTTATTCTATGATTTTTTTCCTTCAAGAATTATAGTTTTCATACTGCAGTTAGATATGTCGTGAATTTTTTACATTTTTGTTAGTGGAAATTTCTTTTGGAAATTATCATATTGCGCCAGCACCATATTGAAAAGACTATACTTCCTCCCCTGCATTGCAATTGTGACTCTGTAGAAAACCTGTTCACTGTTTGTGTTTCGAACTTTTATAGATCTTCTTTTGTGTCCATTCTTCTGACCTTCTGTATGACATCATCACACTTTAGTATAAATTTATAATTCTTGTAGTCATTTCTCTGATTTTATTATTTTTTTCAGAGTTATTCTCCTATGAGTTGATATCAACATGTTACTTTTAAAAATAATCAGATTGCTTGCTGGGAAGGGGATTGAGATTGTGTTGAGTCTATAATGTTAAGATAAATCCTGAGATTTTTTTTTGAGTAAAATGTCTCTCTCCACTTAGAAATATTTAATTTCATATGAATATTAAGTTGTTTTTGTAGGTCTGTCAATATTTCATCAGATGTATATTTTATATTTTAAATGAAATAGTGGTGATTCTAAAATTTTGATTTTTTATTGCTGGTATATAGAAATTTATTTTATTTTTCTGTATTGATTTGTATCTTCTAGTTTTACTAAACTCACTTTTTGCTCATTACAATTTTGGCTTATGCATCAGAATTTTTGTGTAGCCCAAAGGTTGTCAGTTGTTTCCTTTTTTTTTTTTTTTTTTTTTTTTTACAGGCAGAGTGGACAATGAGAGAGAGAGACAGAGAGAAAGGTCTTCCTTTTGCCGTTGGTTCACCCTCCAATGGCTGCCGCGGCCGGCGTGCTGCAGCCGGTGCACCGCGCTGATCCAATGGCAGGAGCCAGGTGCTTCTCCTGGTCTCCCATGGGGTGCAGGGCCCAAGCACTTGGGCCATCCTCCACTGCACTCCCTGGCCACAGCAGAGAGCTGGCCTGGAAGAGGGGGCAACCGGGACAGCATCCGGCGCCCTGACTGGGACTAGATCCCGGTGTGCTGGCGCCGCTAGGTGGAGGATTAGCCTAGTGAGCCGCGGTGCTGGCCCAGTTGTTTCCTTTCTCAAATTATTGTCTTACTAATGATAGTAAATATTTCTGATTTGTAACAATACAATTATTGTGACAACTTTTTATCACTTTAGTATTAAAGCATCCATAGATAAGTAAATTGATGAGCATATCTGTGTTTCAATAAAACTTTGTTACTAAAGCCTGAAGCTGGCCTACAAATGAGTTTGAAGATGGAGAATTCACACCCCTATTATGTGGTCATTGTTGTAAGTAGAGATCTTCAATACTTCCTTTCAACTTGACTGCTTTTATTTATTTTTATTGCCTCAGCATACTGACTAGAATCTTAACTACAATGTTGAATAACAGTAGTGAAAAGAAATTACTATCTTGTTTCTGATATTAAAGGTAAAGTATTTTAATTTCTGTCATTAATTATGTTTTCTGGAGTTTGTTATCCATGCTCTTTCTTATGCTGATGAAGTCCTCTTGTATTTTTAGTTTCATGAGATTTGTGAAGTCAGGAAAGATTGTTAACTTTGTCAAATGCCTCTATCCACTGAGGAGTTATAGGGACTGGACACCCCTACACAGTCATGGATAGACTATGAAAGCTGCCTCAGGTCTTGGTAAGGGCGGAAAACAGTGACAGGAACTCAGATTCCATCTTGAGACCTACCTTTACTCTGACTGAAGTTATCCCATCTCACAGACACTCACCTGCATGTTCATGCCATGAAACAGGATGAGGTATTTAATGCTGACAGCCCACATGAGCCAAGTCTCACCTACCTTAGCCACAGAAAATTTTTTCACAAAAAGCTCATGTGTTCAGAACCTTAAACAAAGACCCCCTGCCTAGCAACCATATGTCACAATGTGGGCCAAAGATGTTTTGCCCTTTGGAATGCGGGCTAAGGGTCAAGTGTACAGTCAAGTGTACATCTGTGACTGTAGACCCAAGTAGGGGGTGCAGTCCTAAAGCAGGAACCTCTGCATGTCTCCCACAAAAACAAAACAAAACAAAACAAAACACATCCCATGGAGAGTGGTAAAGTATAAAATTGAAAACTCAAAAACAGCCTCACTCTTCTGATAATGAACTCCCAGCTTTGAGCCCCTCCTCTCTCTCAGGAGTCTGTACTCCTTTCTACACAATAAATCCACTTTTGCTTTGCACATCTTGGACTCAGCCCATTATTTCTATACTGAGAGAGAGTCCTGGACCAGGGTATCTGGCATCCCCCAGAGGAGCGAAACAATAGTAACCCTGCAGTTTTTCTCTTTCATATTATTAATACCATAATAAAATTTATTATTGTGTTATTGTTAAACAAGCCCTGCATTCCTGGAATATATCCCATTTGTTTAGACATTTATTTAGTTTATTTATTGAATTTGATGTCCTAAATTTTTAACACATCTTATCTTTAGTGATATCTTAGGTTGAGGAAGGTACAGAGATTTTCCAAAATTAACTGCTCCCATAGTGGCATAATCACTCCTCTTATTAATATAAACCTCACTAGTGGTTTATATTATTATATTAATAAACCTCAAATCCATAATTGACATTAGGATTTTGTATTGTAAACTTTATGAATTCATGCAAAGTTATAATAATGTGTATCTATCATTTTATTATACAACATTTCATTACCCTAAAATCTTGTCTGCCTAGTCATCCATTTCTTCCCTCTACAATCCTGTCAACAACTGATCTTTTTACTAGATTCATGATTGTGCCATTCTGAAATGTTACATAGTGATGACCACGTATAATTGTTCACATCAACTTCTTTTACTTGGTAATATACCAAAGATTCCTCTGTGTGTTTTCATGATTTGTTAGCTCATTTCCTTTTAGCAATAAACTATTTTTTGTATGAGACAGCACAGTTCACTCATACATTCACCTATATGAGAATATCTTCATTATTTCAAAATTTGTTTGTATTTTTACATTATTGCTCATGAGGAAATTTGATCTCTTCAATATCTGTGTTTGTTTTTACAGATAATATTTTCATTATAGAATTAGTTCAGATATGTTCCTCCTCATCTTTTGAAAAGCACGTAGAATTATATAATTTCTTTCTAAAATATTTGAAAGGATGCATCAGTGTGGATATCTGGGCCAGGTGATGCTTTCTAGGAAGATTTGTAACTCTGACTGTATTTTGCTTTATAGAAATAGGTTAATACAGGTGGTGAGTTTCTTCTTGACTGAGTTTATCTTTCAAGGAACTTGTCTATTTTATTTATGTTAGCATGTTTCCTCTTGAACATCTCTATTATTAATATCTCAAGAATTTGTACTAATATAACTATTTTCTTCATTCATAATTTGTGCATTTCACTTGATTCAATTTCTGTCTCAGTTATGGGTCTGTTTAGGTTTTCTGTGTCTTCATAGTTTCATTTAGGTAGGTTTTATGTGTCCCGGAATCTATTCATTTCTGATAATTTCCCAGTTTGTTGCCATACAATTCTTTGTAGTAATTTCTGAAGTCTCTTTTATTTGTATGGTGTCTGTTGTTATATTTGCTTTTTAATTTCTAATTTTATTGATTTTGGTCTTCTCTCTCCTTTTTTTTTTTTGACAGGCAGAGTGGACAGTGAGAGAGAGAGACAGAGAGAAAGGTCTTCCTTTTGCCGTTGGTTCACCCTCCAATGGCCACCGTGGCTTCTCCTGGTCTCCCATGCGGGTGCAGGGCCCAAGCACTTGGGCCATCCTCCACTGCACTCCCTGGCCACAGCAGAGAGCTGGCCTGGAAGAGGGGCAACCGGGACAGAATCCGGCGCCCCGACCGGGACTAGAACCTGGTGTGCCAGTGCCACAAGGCGGAGGATTAGCCTAGTGAGCCGCGGCGCCGGCTTCTCCTTTTTTTTGGTTAGTTGGGTCACTGGTGTGTCAATTGTGTTTATTTTTTCAAAAAACCAGCTCTTTGTTTTGCTGATCATTCATAATTTTTTTGGATTCCATTTTGTTAAATTCTTCTCTAATTTTAATTATTTCCCTCCTCCTACTAGTTTTAGGTTTGGTTTGCCATAGATTTCTAGATCCTTGAGATGCATTGATAGCTCATTTATTTGGTGCTTTTTCAATTTCTTGATGTAGGCACTTATTGCTATAAACTTTCCTCTTACCACTGCTTTTACTGTATCCAATTAGGTTTGATATTTTGTGTGGTTATCTTCGTTTGCTTCCAGAAAGTTTTTGACTTCTTCTATCACCCACTGTTCATTCAGGAGTACGTTGTTCAGTCTCCATGTTTTTGCATATTCTCTAGGGATTGTTGAGTTGCTAATTTCCAGCTTCATTCCATTGTGGTCTGAGAAGATGCAAGGCATGATTTTGATTTTTTTGAATTTACTGAGACTTGCTTTATGGCCTAGCATGTGGTCAATCCTAGAGAAAGTTCCATGCACTGCTGAGAAGAATGTAAATTCTTCAAGTGTAGGATGAAAAGTTCTGTTATACGCCGGTGCCATGGATCACTTGGCTAATCCTCAAACTGCAGCACCGGCACCCTGGGTTCTAGTCCCGGTTGGGGCACTGGATTCTGTCCCAGTTGCTCCTCTTCCAGTCCAGCTCTCTGCTGTGGCCCAGGAAGGTAGTGGATGATGGCCCAAGTGCTTGGGTCCTATACCCACATGGGAGACCAGGAGGAAGCACCTGGATCCTGGCTTCGGATCGATGCAGTGCATCAGCTGTAGCAGCCATTTAGGGGGTGAACCAAAGGAAAAGAAGGCCTTTCTCTCTGTCTCTCTCTCTCTCACTGCCTCTCAAAAAAAAAAAAAAAGTTCGGTTATAGCTATAAGATCCAATTGTTCTATGCTGTTGATTAGATCTACTGTTTCCTTGTTGATTTTTTGTCTGGTTGATCTGTCCATTGCTGAAAGTTGAGTACTGAAGTCCCCCAATACTATTGTATTGGAGTCTATGTCTCCCTTTAAGTCCCTTAACATATCTTTTAAATAGATGGTACCCTGTAATTAGGTGCATATACATTTATAATAGTTACATCTTCATGTTGAATTGATCCCTTAATCATTATATAGTGCCCCTCTTTGTCTTATTTAAGTTTTTGTGTTAACAAAAGAGCTGGCTAAGCTAGCTCTTTTTTGGTTTCTGTTGGCAGGGAATATCATTTTCCAACCTTTTACTTTTAGTCTGCATGCACCTTTGTTGGAAATATGTGTTTCTTTTAAGGGGCAAAGAGATGGGTTTCGTTTTGTAATCCGTTCAGCCAGTCTGAGTCTTTTAACTGGAGAGTTGAGGCCATTGACATTCAATATGACTTTTGCAGGTCTGGATCAGTAGAGACAAATTCTTTCAATTTCTTTTTGCTATGAAAGCTCTTTGTTTCATCTTTATTTCACCTTCATTCACAAATGAGAGCTTTGCAGGATATAATATTCTGGGCTTTGAGTTTTTTTCTCTTAGTACTTGGAATATATTCACCATTCTCTCCTAGCCTGTAGGGTTTCTGATGAGAAGTCTGCTGTGAGTCTAATTGGAGATCCTCTGAGAATAATCTGGCATTTCTCTCTTGCACATTTTAGAATCTTTCTTTATGTTTCAATGTGGTGAGTTTGATTGCAATGTGCCATGGCGAAGACCTTTTCTGGTCATGTCTATTGGGAGTTCTGTGTGCTTCCTGTACTTGGATGTCTCTTTCTTTCTCCAAACCTGGGAAGTTTTCTGCTAGTACCTCACTAAAAGGGATTTCTAATCCTTTCTCTCGTTCCATGACTTCAGGAACTCCTAGAACTCAAATGTTGTTTTTTTTTAATAGTATCCTATACATTCCCAACAATATTTTTTAGATTTCTAATTCCCTCTTCTTGTCTTTGGTTTGACTGTATATTTTCTTGTGTTCTGTCATGTAAGTCTGATATTCTCTCTTCTGCATCACCCTTTCTGATTTAAGGCTCTCAACTGCATTATTTGTTCTATTGAATTCTTCATTTCATTTTGATTCCTCCTTAAGATTTCATTTTCATGAGAAAGATTTTCTTCATATCCTGCATGGATTTCAGTAGTCCGTGTGTTTGTTTTTGATTGCTTCTATGTATTCTTATCATCAATTTTTTGAGTTCCATTCCTTGCATTTTTTCTGTCTCATCATCTTCATAATCTTGTATTGAAGCGTCATGTTCTTTTGGGAGCATGATGTTGTCTTCTTTATTCTTGTTTCTTGGGTTGTTGCATTTATTATTCGGCATTTCTGGAGATACTCATTGGTTTCTTCTTTTTTTCCCACTGTGATGGTTATTTTTGTTGTACTATGACTGTAGAAAAGTGGACTGTCTGCTTTCAGTGTATCTCTAGAGGCTTGTGGTGGGTGGGTCACAGAGCTCTGTTCAGTTCTTCAGGTTTAAGGGTGTGCCTAAGGTGACACACCCAGGTTTGGTGTTGCAAATCTTCTTTCTCTCTCTCTCTTATTTTTAATCAGAAGGAAATAATCCCGCTCAGCTGAGCCCTTCTTGATGGCGATCTGTGCCTGAGCACTACCCGCAGTAGGTATAATATTTATCTGCTCTGTCCCAAGGACCACACAAAGGATCTGTGTGGTCCTCAGTGTAAGCTCAGATTCCCCTGCCATGTCTCTCATTGGGTAGTCAGGGCCACCTGAGCTTGTGGCATCTCCCACTGAGACTACTCAAAGTCTTGGCCACACCATGAGTTCTCCCACAAACCATGTTTTATTTTTCCTCAGTCCCGGTTCAGAAGCTCCACACAGTTACTAGATGTTAGTCTCCTGTTATTACTCCCCACCAGAGTTAGGTTTCTACACTCTGCTGATTTGCTGATTGCTGGGCACAGACATGAGCTGGCACAGCTGTTACATATGTCCAAAATGGCACCTGCTCTATCAGCTCATTGCATTTGTAAGGTGATTAGAGAGAGAGAATCATGTCTGTGCCATCCCTTTTATTTTTTTCTCCTCTAGTTAGGCTGATGTACTTTCCCCCATGGGGCT